CATCTGTCAGGAAAGAGGACAAGCCATCTTTGGTCATCCTGGCTTCATAGAAGGGCAAGTTGTGTGCAGAATAGGTTATTAATTTAATGGGCTAATCCCATCTGAGTTGTGCTTCTGCACACCTTTCTTGTGCTGCCATGAAGTGTACATTTGCTTTGGGGGAGGAAATGTTGTGGAAAGCAATTCTTGCCATGCATGGATGGTACCAGAGTGGAGAAGTGATTGTGATGAATTTTTTGACCTCCTAGTGGGTTTTAGTGAAAACAGAACAACTTGCCTCCTGCCTCGGTTGGGTATAAGTATTGACCTTTCTAGAATTCATTCAGGAGAAGAAAAATGCAAAGAGTAAGGCAGCAAATGACAGTAGTAGGAGATTCCTCTGGGAGGTACAGAGGTGACATGTTATGCATTCTAGAGAGGTGAACTGCTTACCAGGGGCTCTTATCTCGGCCTGGTAGCTGAGACTGCCAGGCTTCTTGCAGTCCACTGACTGTTACTTCCTAGTGTTGTTTCATGTAGGCACAAGGGGTACAGCCAGGAGCAGTCTGAACAGCATCAAGGAGGGGATTACAGAGCCCTGGGTCTGGCCAAAAGGCACTCTGGAGCAGATAGTTTTTCCAGGTAGTTTTTCATTCATTCTCCCAGTCAAAAACAAAGGGGGTCGAAAGAGCCCCTTGTATTTGGAGAATCAGCAGGTGATTATAGCCCTTGTGCCACAGCAGGGGATTTAATTTCTTAGACCAAGGGACTCTCTTTGAGAAACCTGGTCTTCTCAGGACTGATGTGTTCCATCTGTCAGGAAAGAGGACAAGCCATCTTTGGTCATCCTGGCTTCATAGAAGGGCAAGTTGTGCCTGACCTGGTGTCCTTGTGTGATGGAGTAATTGTAACAGTCAACAAGGAAGGGCTGGCATCATCTATCTGGACCTCTGTAAGGCCTTTGACATGTCACAATGACATCCTTATCTCTACACTAGAGAGAGGGATTTGAAAGGTGAACTTTTTGGTGGATAAAGAATTGGCCTCATCCAGTTAGTTGGGTGCATCCAGTTAGTTGTGGTCAATGGTTCTATGTCCAGATGGAGACTGGTGACAGATCATGTCCCTCAGGGCACACAACACAACAAGCTCACTGCTATAGCCGTCAGAAGAGCAGACTTTGTCCTCTTCAAGGATCTGCTTGGTAGAGTGCCATGGGATACAACCCCAGAGGGAAGTGGGGCCCAGGAAAGCATGTTCATATTTAAGGATTCCTTCTTCCAAGTTTGGGAGCAGTGCGTCCCAGCTAAAATAAAGACAAAAACTACCCCAACTGCAGGGATGAAAAAGAGCTCCTGGACAAACTCAAATACAAAAACAAAGCCTAGGTAAGGAGGAAACAAATGAATGTAGCCTGGGAGGAAGAGAGAAATGAGATTGTCTGAGCTGCCAGGGTTGTGTTTGGGAATGCTAAAGTTGTACTGTTGGTGATAAAAGGAAGACAAGGGAAAAAGTGGACCCTCTCTGTAAGAAAACAGGAGACCTGGCTAACTGGGACATGGAGAAGATGGAGGTACTTAATAACTTTTTTTGCCTTGGTCTTCTCCCACAAGATTTCTAACCATATGAATTACAGAAGGTAAAGGCAGGGGCTGGGAGAATGAATAACCATCCACTGTAGGAGAGGATCAGGTCTGAGACTTTTTGAGGAATCTGAAAGTGCACATGTCCTCGGGGCCTGACAAGATACATCTGTTGGGTCCCCAGGGAACTGGAAGAGGAAGTGGCTAAGCCACCATCCATGGTGTTTGAGTTCCCACTGATGAAAAAAAGGGAAGCATAACCTCTATTTTAAAAAGGGAAGGAAGGCAGACCTGGGGAGCTACAGGTCAGGGAGTTTCACATCTGTGCCTGGCAAGATCCTGGAGCAGATCCTCCTGGAAGTTAAGGGACTTGGAAAGTGTGAGGTGATAGGTGACATGCAAATTAAACCTCACAAAATAAAAGAGGCGGGCAACATGGTCGCTGTAGACAGCAGGGCTTTTTGGTGTCTTGGTGTAAAGGTTTTCTGGCATTTATCAAGGTGGGAACTGGTTTGAAGAGCTGATGCAAAAGTGAACCTATACCATTTCCTGGTAGTTGTTCGGTGCTCACTCACTGGAAAGTGCAAAACTCAGTGTGCAAAAGAGCAGAGCTCATGATCACTGGTGAGGAAGATCACAGTCATAGTAGTTCTAATTTAAATGTCTTTAAATTACTGTGGGATTGCATGCTTAGTATTTGGGTTCCTGCTGTGAATTCTGAAAGCTTCATTTGCTCACTGACTCTTTAGTTGCTGTTAAAGAGCATAAAGTTTGTAGATACCGTGTGGGCATTCACAGTTGTTTCTTTGTCTTAAAAGACTGTACCTTCTGTTTTAAGGCCATTTTTAAATTTTGACAGCTGAGAGAAGTAGCTTTCTTGGCATGAGAATTTAAGGATTTATTAGTTGTGTGGTTGTGTCAAAGAGAATATTAGCCCTTTCCACTGGCATCTTGCACTAGTGACCATGATGTATGAGATCCTGTGTCTGAGTTAGGTGATATTGCAGTGGTGAACATTCACTGTCCCATATTTTGAGTTAATTTTTCATATGTTTTCTAGCTTTGAATTTAGTAATTTGGTACTCCCTTTTGCCTTCATTAGAAAGGTTCTTTTGCATTTGCTGATAGAGCTTAATTCCAGTTTTGACTGAAAGTGTAGACACAGCATTAAGAAGTTAAAGGAATCCACTTGAAATTTAAGTACAGAATTATCTTTCAAAATGATCTGGTGTAAAAAATGCCTTGCTGGCTGGTAGTCTAAGACTGTGTATGGAACTTAAGGAACAGCACTTTTTCTTTTTCACAATTTCTAAAACTGTAGCTTATTGATGTTTTTAGTCAATAGTTTATTGTGCCCATTATGGGAACATATCTTAAGTATGCCTGGCTTGCTAAAACATCACCTTCTCTTTAGTGTGCTAAGGTAGTTCCTTCAGCCCATTGCACTTGAGATACTGGGGTGACTTACCTCTTCTTGCAAAATCTATACCTTCTTTCATCACAGCTATTTCAATTAACTCTCTGTACCTTATGTCTGTCTCACTCAAAACTGTTTCTGGTTGACTGTTTCTGTGTTTTGCAGCTCCCAGTTGGACTTGTACTTCAGATTGTCAGAAAACTGTTGATCTTGCTTCTGCACAATTTCTGTAAATGGTGTTTAATGCTCTATTGATAGCAATTGAAAGTAATTTTATTACATGATGGCCCCTACCATATCCCCAGGTAAACTTGTGTAGCTGGTTCTGCTCTTAAAAAAACTTACTGGACAGAAAGGTAATCCAGAGTGCTCTGATTTTGGCAGAGGATAGCAGAAGAGTAGATAGGCTGAGCAACAAGATTCAGCGGCCAGGTTGGAGGCAGTTGGGTATTGAGGCACGTTGTTTATGGCAAAAAACACATGGGTAAAGAAGGTAAAGAAAGGTGGCAAATGCCAGGTTGCAGCAGTTGTTGTTTCTTTCATAACCTCTGTCTGCCTTCTCTCCAGCTGGTTGTGAAGAGAGCAAAGAAGGGAAGATAATGTAGAGATAACAAAGCTGGTCAGTGTCAGACTAAAGCTATTCTCTGTTCTTATCCCAACAAAATGCTGTGTTTTGCTGGATGGGAATCTTTCCTCTACTTTGATGCTTCTAAGAAATCTTGAAAAAGTATGTCCAGAAATGTATTTTGTCACTTCAACAATGGACTGGGGTAAGGGGAATAATGAGTGGTGAGAGCAAGAAACAGAAAGTCATTAAAGTAGAACTTTCATAAACTGTTGTTATATGTTCTGGAGGTACTGCTCTTGCTCAGTTTGGGTGGTCTCCCAATTAAAGTAAGAAGTAATTCTGATCCAGCTTTGAGCATGCCATCATGGGTAGTTCTGATCTATGCGCATCAGTGTTTTGGGGATTTAGGATTATAATTTTTGTGTACTCTGGTAAATTTGCAGTTGCTTGGTGACTTATAATTGCCACATAATTTTGTCATTAAAATAAACATTGTTTTTGTTCTCTGAGTGCAGCTCTTGACCTTCTTCTGTTCTTGTAATACAAAATAATATTCTTACTCGTCCTCCAAAAAATCTGAACAAACTGAGTAAGCCTTACATAAAACCCCTAAAAAGGTGGGGAAAGAAATCTATGCACAAATATATTGCATATAAGAAATATTTGGTAACCCTTTTTGTAGACATGTGCTTTGTGTATTGTTGTATTCTAGCACAAAATTTTTCATGCCTTGTTGACAATATAGCGTTTGCAAAAGTTAAGCTATTAATTGTATCAAGAAGCTCATAAACTGAGGCTGGTAATCAAAATTTGAGAAAACAAATACTTGTTTTTGTTAAAACAAATAAATATTTTAGTGGATGATAACAAGGAAGATGAGTTATTTAATTTAGGTATTTTCCTGTCAGTAACTGTGAAGAAGGGTGAGGCAGAAGGAATGTGTGATCAGAGACTGACTGGCAAAAGCACAGGAGGGTGGACAGGTGGTCAAAGTCAGAGAAGGAAACAAATGGAGTATTTCAACTTTTTCCTCACAGATAAGGAGTGACAGAGAATTGCTTGAGAAATCGGGATACTCATGGAGGCTGGGATTTTAGAGCATCTTAGGCAAGAATGAAACAATGCAGAAAAAACTTTGAACGATGTCTGATAAGTTTGCAATAGTGTTTGGGATGATTGTTTAGGTAATTTCTTTTAATGGCATTTGGAGCTACTTCATGAGACACAGAAAAGATGGCAGATAATTGAAGATCCTACTGAAATGTGGGATCTTAGATGAACCAAGGCTTATTTGAGTGCGTTAGGGAAGCAAATTTGGTGTGGGAATTTGGGAAGTAAATTATATTTAACTTCAACTATGGTAGTTTTGTTCAACTGTGGCGTTCTTTAATGTGACCGACTAGTGACTGGTGGCTCCTCTGCTGTTGCTGTTAAATGGTGTTTTCTCTCCTAGGGTTTGGACGTGGCAGAGGGAGAGGAGCGGGGAGGTTTTCAGCCCAAGGCATGGGGTAAGAAACATGCAGAGCACAGATTTTGGCAAGGATCAAACACAGTGGCAGTATTTATTGACAATGTTGCCACCGTATGTATGGATATTACTGTATGTTTGATAAACTAATATAGATGCAAAAATTGAAAAATCTCTTAGGTGATGAATGGAATATTTTTGTCTTAAGCTAGTGTTTCTAACTAGGCACACCTGTAGAATCCTAATGTATGTCTGTTCAGTGTTAATATCTCAAACTTGGACAGCCATACCTGCTATCAGTAGCAGCCACATAGTGCTTTGGAGTCTTAAAGTTGTGTGCTACATACAGTCTTAGGTAAATTTTAAACCAGATTTATTTCAGTGTAATGTAGAATGTACAGTGAACATATATAAAACTTGAAAGTGGCAATTCTAAACTTTGTTCTGTTTTGGAGGTTTCATGCTTTAGCTGTTTGGACTCATATGGACCTTAAAACAGATTCAGAAGAAGTTATTCAGCAGGTTAAAAGCTTGCTCTCAATTTTGTTGGAATAACTTGGATTATAGAAATGTATCCTCCACTACGTTCACTCAGTGTTTGCCTTTAATGACACTTCATGCAACATCAGTAATGTCATGATGAACTGGAGTCCTGTTCTACCTCTCTAATAATTCTTCTTGTTCATACTTGCAGATGATGACCTGAAAAGAGGCTTTTCTTCAATAATGCTTTTTTACCTTTTAGCTGCGTCTGTGTATTTTTGGAATCGGTGTCAGCAGAGCACTTTGAAATAATCTTACTGGTGCTCTGAAAGGACATGATACTGGTCACTTATCAGTCAGCCACCTGCTGAAAAACTTACCTGTTGAGAGAGTCTTAATGTTGTTTGTATAAACTAATGCTTTATAACACTGGGAGGAATTGGGATGCTGTTAACTGTTTTTTCAGGAATTTATTTGATTGTCTCTACAGGAATTTTGTTTACCAGTCTCTTAGCTTTTTTCTCTACTCTCTTTTCTCCCTTTTTATCTCTTTCTGATCATAGAAGAATTTTTTTTAAAACTAAAAGCTGTCAAGATAACTTATGGGGAAATCAAGATGTTAAGTCTAATACAACGTCAGCTAAAAATTATGACACTTATGCTCACTGAATGACCCATGTGTTCTCTTCCATTTCTTAACTTTCAAAACTCTAGGACATTTAATCCTGCAGACTATTCGGAGTCTTCTGCCACTGATGGCTTTGGGACAAAGTCAGAGATCTGGGAGACTGGTCAGAATGATGCAGATGATGGAACTGGTAAGATCTTCAAGAAGTGGAAGGATTGGAATGAAGATCTGTAGCATACTGCAGCTAAAATAGCCATTCTGTTAGAGTTCAGTTAATTTTTGAAAATTTGTATACATCTCTTGTGACACAGATATTAGATGATTTTTAAGTTTAGCTGCTGCTGATGTGCAGAGCCTGAATGTCTCTCTGGTGAGAATCAAGGGAGGCATTTTGCAATTCTTTTGTTGTAGTACCAATAAACCCTTGAGGGACAAAGGAATTTGAAGAGTCACTGGAAGAACCTTGTATGTAAGTGTTTAGATATCTTAATAGTGCTTAAGATCTCACCAGTTGTAGTTAAGGAGCATAAGTCCTCCTAGAATTGATTGGTCCACAGGCTTTGGGCATGGGATGTGAATATCTAAGAAGAAAAAGAAAATAAAATGTTTACAAGGATGAATTCACTCAGTGACACTGGGATGGCTTTGGAAGCCCCATCTGCACAATGCAGAAATGTAAGGATGTGAGTCTGTGGATGGAGGAGAGTTCCAAGATCTGCGACTTCTGAAGAGAAAAATTATTAACTAAACCACAAGTAGGCACTTGAATTGAAGCCAAAAATCCATTAACCTGTCTGAAGATCAAGGCAGATGTGTGTTTCCGTATGAAGTTTCAAGTGAGAAGTACACACTTCCAGCTAAAGACGAGAGACTGACATAGTTTGGAAAGGAACCATTTGGCAGTGATTCAGAAATGAGGGTGGCCTGCTTATCTGTGATGGGAAAAATAAGATACCTTGCTGCTTCCTGTGTTCTGCAGTAGGAGATGAAGGCAATGTAAACTGTGTGTTAGAATGGAGAACGTCATGTATGTTTTTGTCCTCACCTGGGAGCCACTGAGTGTATTTCTTTTAACTGCAGCAATGGATAACTCTTCTGATCTCTTCATTGGTGAAGCCTACTCAGGTGATTTTTCAACTCCTGCGTCAAGTGTGGAAGCTGATCCTGAAGGGCACAATGTGCTCTGTTGAGCTCTGCTGTGAGCCACTTGAGATGCAGCTTTCTAAATGTCTTACAAGCCATTTTCTACTTAACTAGAGAAGACAACAACAGGCTCAAAGTTCAGGGAGGCTTATTAAGCAGCTGTCTTGTCACTCTGACTGCCTTCTGAACCAGTATGGAAGAGCGGTTTTGAGTATATTAGTGGTTGATAATGGGAGCATTCTTGCCAAATATGGTATCTCTCTAAGGAATTACTTCTTATATTACTTGGTGCTGTAGCACAAACAGAAATACATCTTTTGTTTTCACTCATGTTAGTTTTTCAAGTAAGGAAGATACCTAATGTATTGATAATTCCTTTGGGGGTTCTTATGTTATTGTTTGCTACCTGTTAGCAAGGGACAGGGTATGTTACCACAGGCGGTGCAGAAGCTATGAGGTTAACTGAGTAAAGAAACCTCTGCAAGAAAGGTACTAGGAGATTGGATCAGAGGGAGAGAATCACTGGTTTCTTACTGCTGATTATAGTTGTAAGGGTATAGCTTACAACTTGTGCTCTACTTCCAAAATGAACTCAGGTGTTCTGAGACCCTCCCTACTAACTCAGAGTAGCCTCCGTGTGCCTCTGTTACAGCAGCCTCTGGCCTTGTAGGCAGAGGCAGAACCTCCTTGTCCTTCTTACTCACTTTTAAGTAGTGGAAGAAATGTGCCTAAGAATAAGAGTAATTTGGTGTGGGTAAACAGATCCCTCTAACAGTATGAATGTGTCATCATGAGAGGTGTGCTGCTGACAGAGTGGTGGAAATTCAGAATTTTGATGTGTGGAATTTCTGTTTGGATGCCAAGCGCATTCTTGCTGTGCACATGTCACCAGCAACCACACTGGACTTCAATAACACGGCTTACGCCATGCATGGAAATTTGGGAAACCTTGTAGGAAGAAGGTGTGAGAAGGCATTAGGGAATTTTCGCTGGCCTTGTCAGATGAATGAATCTTTGAAGTATGAATGTGGGTGTCATTGTGAGGGAGATCCTGCAAAATTACTTGGTTGGTGGAAAATTAAAGAAAACTAGGTAAATGTGAATGTTATTGTTGGGCTAAGTACCTTTTTGTTGCTAATCTTAATTTACTTTCAGATGAAAAAGGTACAATAAGTGACAAAACACAAATGTCTCTAAAGAATGCTTTCTTTTATGGTTTTGTAGACAAGCTCTAGGAATGTCCGAAAGAAGTCTCTGGGCCAAAAGGAATCAGAAAGATTCAGAAAGAACAGGCTTTAAAATTGAATCATCAGTTGTCCAAGTGGGTAGCACTGTCAGCCTTTTGATGGAAAGCATCTTGAGGGTTTTTAGAGGAAGCTGCAGCTGGGGTGGTAATTTTACAGCAGAAGAGACTACTGGGAAGGAACAAGGAAGCAGTGCTGTGTGAAGTACGTTGCATAAAGTTGAGCATGAATTGACTTGTTAATACCAAATATTAATTTTCAGGTTTGCCCCCTAAATTTACAGTGCTGTTTTGTTAATTACAAATCAATGACCCAGTTAAGATCCCAGTGGGGAGTCAACTAAAGCTTTGAATGTGGGAACTATATGTGTATAGAAAACTATAAAGCTTGCAGTGGACTTTATAGATGTCAGGTAAGAGTTTATACAGGAAAGACAGGAAAGTCTCTTTATTCCTCATTACCCAGTTCCATTTCTTATTTCATCTAAAAAGAAGGTAAAAAATATTAGCTTATGCTATCTACTTGGAAAACTAGTGTCTTTCATCTACAGTTACATTAAAGAGGTGATAAATGGGCAACTGCCTAGAGAAATAAGAGATCTTTGCTTACCAAAATGTTTTCTAGAGATGTAACTCTTTATGACATTCTGAGTTATGTACTAAGTATTTCTTTCTTTAGCCCTGTTGGGGAAATGAATATTTTCTTAAAAGATAAATACATATTTGTTTTCAAAATGTAGTTTCTGTCATGTGTACTCTGAAAGTGCTCTAGAGCCTCATGCCCTGAATTATTGCAGATACCAGAGGCCTCATGATAACTTGAATAGTGTTTCTGAGTGCACCATTGTGTAATCCAGTAGAAAAGCTAGCTGATTCTGTGAAGGTAAAATTTAGTGTTGGCTGAAATATAGACTGAAGGGCAAGTCTTTAATAGTTCATAATGTTATATCTAATTGTATCACAAATATTACAGCATCAGTTTTCCTGCATCCTAATTTATATAAAAATAATGTGCAGATGAAAGGCAAAGAGAAGGAACAGATGAAGAGAAACAAAATTACCAGTTCTCCTCCAAAAGGAAATAAACTTGAGCAGCATAATTTCTCTCTTACCTTTTTCATAATGTACAGGGCAGTGAGAGAAAATGAGTACAAGTCACAGCAGTTCTTATATATAAATTATATTGGAGGTGCTCACTTCTCAAAGTTGATTGTAAAAATGGCCTTGTGTTCTGGTAATTTACTCACATCTCTAATTTGATAGAGTTTCACAGGTTTCATGTTACCTTTGTCACCTTAGTTATGAACAGTCTTAAATTACTCTGAAACTTAAGAATGATGAGAAATAAAAAATAAATTATAGAGTAACTTTCAAGAGGGACAGTTGTGTTCCTTGGAAGGTACAAGGAAGTAGGTGTTTGGGTTTCTGTTTTTGGGAGGGAGTTTTGTGTTTCGGTGGTTTTGGGTTTTTTTTTCAATATCTGCTGTAAAAGTGAGAAGGAAACCTTCAAGTCTTTCTAGAATGCAAATCCAGAAGGAAAGATCTAGTACATAAGTTTGGCATAGACCAAGTTAAATTTATTTCGGGGCTAATATCAATGATTATTCAAAGAAGGGGTAAAAAATTAAGGAGTGTGACAGGGAGAGAGGATAATTGTAGGAACATAGCTGAAGACTCATCAAAATATGTATTCTGTTTTTATTGGCTTAATAACTTTGTAAACTGAACTTGTTACAAAGAAAAAGAGGAAAGGATCACAAATAACCACCTAGGTTGAAGCTTGTATGACAAGGATCCTAGAAAACACAAAACATAATTTTGATGGAAAACAGAAAATTCTTGAAGTGTGATGCTTTGCAAGGCCTGTGGGAAAGATTGGGAAGAGATGCATGAGTTGCAGTAACACCAAGGTGGATTTTGGACTAAAAAGAAATTGATGCACCTGTGGCAAGTTCTGACTTAGAAATCCCATTAATAGGAGGAAGACATTCAGAAGCTGGATTCAGTGCAGAGAAGAGTACTGAAAAAAACTGAGAGTGGAATGATTGAGTTGGGAAGGAAGAGTTGTTAATAAATGACACTAGCAAAAACTTGGCAGCCTGGGTAAACTAATAAAAAGGTGAAAGCCTGTACACAGTATTTAAAAGAATAAAGCCTCAGGACTAGTTTTTTAAGAGGGAACAACAGACAGTTTTTTAAATTTAATGTCAGGAAAACATCACAAGTATTATTTCAAGTAGGTTTGGTCTCCCAAAATGTGATAGAAAATATGCTAGAGTCTGACTTAATGTACCTGCGCTTTTTTAGTGTTTGTTTTATCAGACTCTGAGCTCTGTTTTCATGTTCTGTTGTCAGTGCAAGGCTTGTTTCTAGAGAGAGACCTTGGCACTGGCTTATACAGATAAATACAAATAGGGCAAATACTTTGATTTCTTCTTCAAAGAAGAAATACTGGGGAAGGGATTCTGTGCTGGTGAGGGGAAGGGAAAGAAAATCAACAGTTCCTCTAAAAGCTGCTGATCATTGGGCTTTTCCTCCTTTTCAAAATTTCTGTAGAAATGTGTGGATTACTCTAGAAATTTGAGGCATTGTAATAGTTTTGCTACAGGATATGGTTATTCATAAAAACATCCTCCCTGGGTAGGGGCCTTTTGCTGAAATGTGAGCATGAGATGTTTCAGGCAACTCTGTATTGCTCCACAGAGCCCACACAGAGCGGATGTTACCTTGCTCAGGACCTGCCCAATAATTTTGGATTCCAAGGTATAGTTCCCCTCTCTTCCCCCCACTGTGTGTAACCTCCATGGTCATCCTGTTTGCCTGACAGGACTGGCGCCGCTCAACTCTCGTCTGCCAAAACCACTGTGGTGTCATGGGGTACGAGAGGAAGCACCAATGCTCCTCTGGCATTAGTACCAGGTGGCTTTGACACTGTCTTTGGGGGGCTTGTTTCTGAATTAATGTGTCTCAGACCACTTCCTGGTTAAATGAAAGGAGATGATTGAAGCAGCAGTCTCTTTGCTTTGTACTTGATCCAGGGTGCTGGTGGCACTGCCTTTGGTGCTGGTGTTTTCTTTGCTCATGGTTGCACAGTTTACACAAAGGCTCTGGTTGTTGTTGGAATAACCTTCCTTGTACTGCTGCCAGTGGTCAAGGCCTACAGTCCCTTTATTGATCTTGCATGTCTGTACCTGCTGTTTCCTATAGAAGGGGTTGGGTTTTTGCATCCATAGGGTTGGTTTCTTTCATTTTCCTATTTGTGCATGCTTCACTGTACTCCAGAGTTTGCCAAATCCAGTCTGCCACAAGTTACAGGAAGTGTTTTTTTACTACAGTGGAAATTTCAAGACTATCCTGTTACCATTGTAAGAATTATTTATGTTCTAAAATAAATTACTCTCTCAGGGGAAGGAATTGGAGTTGTGCTACTCTGAGGAGTGAATTAACAGGTTGGAAAGTAGTCTCCACAGGCATAGCTTGGGTCTTGAAATTGAATGTGTTGAAAGTAGGATTGTGGGTCTTGGAGCAGGTGTTGGTGATTGTGTTTTGTTCTGTATGAATTTGTGTGTGAAACTAAAGGATCCTGTGGGAGGGTTGAGTAACCTCTCACTGCCGTTGGACCCATAGGAGGAAGTTCTTCCAATGTTTGGGATTGATCACTGGATGCAGATGTGTGTTCATGCAAGTTGAGTCCAGTACCAACGTGACTAAGAAATTGCTGAAATCAGAAATCAGGGGCAAGGGGGAGGAGTGGTGGTGTTTCCCTCCCAAAATTTTAATTCTGCAGACCAGTTTCCTAGAGCTTCCAACCATGTTTCCAAATATGTTTCCAACTTCCGTCTCCTTGCTTTGTGTTGTAAAGCAGAAGGATTGAAACACAGTGTTGTGCCTTTAATTTGTACCTTCTTTCTTTCTTTCTCTATTTTAATAGGAGCATGGAAGAACTCAATAGAAGAATGGACAGCAGAAGACTGGAATGAAGATGTAAGTCCAAACTGGCTGGATATACCAATTGATTATTTATTCTCTAAAGAGTTTGTGTTGTTTTCAGAAACTAAATATTTGAAGTAACCCATTATTTCAAGTTTATTTTCTGTAGAGTGAAAATAAGTCATCCCTTTTGCCACCTCCTGCAAGGTGGAATGTCGGTGTTTGTCCTGGAAATGTGTGAATGTTGCATGTAACTGATATGGAAACTCCATCCTTACCTAATGATAGGGATCTATATTTTGAGAGAATTGAAAGAAATTCTTAAATTCCTAGGATTTTCATATCAAAAGCTGACATATTTTAGACCTGTCTTTGTTTCCTCAGTGTGTGCTAAAGGTGGACTAAGGGCTAAAAATGGTGGAAATCTATGGGGTATTCTCACCCCTGTTTGATGCTGATACAATACAGCGTTTCTTGGTAGGGAAGGGTGTTGAACAATGCTTACTACGGATAGAATTTGTTTTAATTAGTTACTAGAGCTGAATAATTTGCAAATTAATTTTGAAATCTCTAGCTCATTGTTAATTTTTATTCATTTTAGATCATGTAAAAATCCTTATAAACGAGAAGAAAGTTATTTGTTAGCTAATATTCAGAAATAGTGAATGAAATGTCAAGATGCAGATACATTAGCCCAAAACATGCACAACAAAAAAAAGGGAAAAATATGTTATATCTTGTGTTCTAAAAATAATTGCATTCTGTTACAAAACATTTTAGTGTATTGAAATCTGCCTTGCAAATTTTGGCAAATCTGTTACAGTAGGACCCTTATTGAATATGGGCTTTTGTAGGAAGGCTATTAGTCCTCCCAGTCTGGGGCCAGATGCCAACTAGTGCCTTGATCAATGATTGGGAAGTAAAACTAAAGTAATTGCTGAATAAAATTTTTGTAAAATACAGAAGGTATTGGAATAGCATTTGAAAGTAAGCCAGTCGTGTGGCGAGATTTGGACCTCTGCAAGACTTGAACAGTTCCAATGAAAAATACTTTTATTTAGCCAAGTATGCATTTGTTTTATGGGAATAAATACACACCTTCAGAATGAGAGCCTGGTGTCTGGAAAGCATCAACTCAAAAGTTTTCAGGATTGTAGTGGATGATGGAAAAACAACAGCTCAGCATGAGCTGATGGTGTATTAAAAAATTTCCTATTGTAGTATTTTTGCCTGTTGGCACTCTTCCCCATCTCTTAGTCATTCTTGAGTTATGTTTCTGTATGTGGATGCTCCTGAATTTGATTCTTAAGTACCAAATCAAATTCCTCATTGCTTTTACAGATGAAAAATTGTGTATTGTAGCTGAAATGTCTGATAAAAGATCCTTGAGAAGGGAGATTTTAGTTTAAGGAATCTGAAAGGGTTACTTTAGGAGCATATGGTGGACTCTGGTTTTACTCTCACAGAGGTGTGGTAGGAACCTGTGTCTGGAAAATGGATCCATGCATTTAAGTGTGTAACAAACAGTTCTAGTGGTATGACTATTGATTAAAAGAACCAAGAAAGCTGATATATTTACTGACTGCAGGGAGAGACCAGGTGTTTTTCTAAAGAATATTTCTGTTTAAATGTGTTCTCTAGTCAGATACAAGTTATAAGCAAGTGAGTGACATTTAACATTATTTGACCCAAGAACAATTAGGTCTTTGTGACCTAATAGTCCTGTCTGGTCCTTATCTCTTGCAGTGAGTATTAAGCAAGTATAATAGGTTGTCAAGGTGCTATTAAATAGAACGGAAACTTCTTGCAGTGAAAATAGGAGGTTGTGTTTTGTTAAAGGGATATTCAGGACTTTAACAATGAAGGACTAGACAAATATTGAGGTACTTTAGGAGGCTCTGGATTTTGTTCTTAAAAGAAGGTAAAGTTTAATGATAGTAACTATTCCAAAGGAAAGAAATAGAATAAATACAAATTGCTGGAAAGTGGGTAATGGCAAACATTTTCTGTAAAGTGTTGGTAATGCTAGTTTTTATTTGAAACCACAACTGCACTTTGTTTAAAAAGGAAAGGGAAAAAAAAGAGTGTGTTTTGTTGAGAGTGGTTTATTTACCAGGAAGCAGCATGAGAAGTTGTTTCAATTTCTTTACCCTCACTACATCATACCAAAACAGTAATAAGCTTTTTTAAAATTTCTGACTTGTTGATGTTGAATTTTTGTGAGGATGCTGAAGTATATTTTCCTCTTCTCCTCACCATTCCTGTATTTCTTTAGGAGCCGATAGCTAGTTGTCAAGTGCATTGTCTGTATGGTGATTGGAGAATGATTTTATCATAGGAACAGGAGCTGGAAAGCAGGGGCATTTCACTGCAGATGGAGGACATACCCCTGTGAGGCCAACACTGACAAATGGCTCACAACCATTCGTTCAGTTCTGGGGAAATTCCAGAGCCTCAGTGAACGATTTGTGAGTGTAGTGTGCAGCAAGCATAATGGCTTGATTGGGAGCTGAAAATACTACTTCTGAGAAATACTAAATACATTTGGTAATAAAACTTTTCAGCTGCCACAGCACGAAATATGTGTTTTGACAATTGCCATAATCCCTGCAGAGTACTGAATTAAGTACTTGATTGGACCTTTTGGCAATGAGTTTGCCACAGGTTGTAGTGTAAATCTCAATGTAACTGAGCTGGTAGCTGGTGACTTCTGTTTGCATGCTGGTTCATCTACAGAGAACATTTATTCTCTCACACGTCAAGCATGCATTTGCATTGTCACAAGCATCCTCAGTCTCCTTAATTTGCTGAATTTCATCAGTGTTTGTCCATGGTTAGTCTTTTCCTGGATTATGTGAGTGTAAGAAACTGTTGACATTAAAAAGAATTTAATATTTAACCAAGGGATTGCAGACCATAGAGTGCTGCTTGTGTCATTAGCTGACCTCCTTGTGCCATGTAATGCAGGAATATAATAATAGCCCAGAAAGTACAGTATGCATTGATCTAAAATAAAATACATAGTGAGGAAAGTGCTGAACAATAGAGGAACAGCCTTTTTAACTGAAATGTACTTAAGTGGAATGTTCTTTCTTTGTTTTGGTCAGTACACAGAGTTGTGGACTGTCAGCATTCATCTTAGGACAAGTGATCCAGAAATGAGGGATTAAAGTGCATTGTGTTGGCAGCAAGGGTGGGGGGAAGAAATGGAGGGAGGAACTGTGTTAGGACTGATATCTTCATGGTCTCATGTGCTTCTTGCAAGAGGGTGCTGTGAGAGTATGTGAGATACCTCTACTCTGCCTCTGAGTGGTGATTTGCTGCCAGTCAGCTCTTCTGTGCCCTTCTTAAATCAACAGTGTTTTATTGGAGACCCCTGTCAGATGTCCAGATTCGGGGACATATGCTCTCAGTAGAGGTGCCTGTGGGATGGCAAATTAAATCGGCTCGGGCCCATGATGTCCTTAAAACTGCTAGAAATGTATGCAGTTAAAAATGTATCATTCTTTACAGAGCTGTATCAAATGGCACATTCTAAAGGTATTCTTTTGCATAGTTCAATTATTCTTCAGTCAAAGACAAGGCTACTAAAGGAATGAAGGATGATTTTTAAAAAAATAAATTTAAAATACGAACATTGTACTTGCATAGCTCTGTCTCGCTAAACCTAACCTGTACTGGCTTAAGATCTATTCTAGTTTGCAAGTACTCCTGTCAATAGAAATTAGCCCTAGGAAGTTGCTGTTGTAGATGTTCAACTACTACTTTTTAAAGGAGAAAAAATGTTAGAAATCTAACCATGTGGCAAGAAAAAAACCCAAAAAACCTGTTTTCCCCCATAGTCCCAACCAGCTCTGCTTCTCCAGGTGCCTGTGCAAGTCTGTCTCTGTATTGTAACAGCCTGGTGAAACTAGTGCAGCTTTCCTCTGTGGATGGTCTGACTTGTTCCCTGAGCGTCAGCATGGCTCTCGCTTTATTACAGTTTCCCATCTCGAGCTCTCAGAGCATTCAGTTAAAGAGTCATTGCCTCTCCTAACAGAGCTGCCAAGAAGGAACCATGAATGCTGGTTCACTGAACTTACCTGTACTTACCTGCCTCTGGTGGGTGCTGCTGGTGGTGGGAGCTGGAATGTCAGATGCAAGGATACATGGAATGAGTGGGAGCAGTGCAATGTGATACCCTTGTGCAACAAGATTTGTCAGAGTTGCTCTGTAGTGTCATAAATTGTCTGCACGATGTCGGTAGAATGGCTGTCACATTAATTACTTTCTACTGGTGTGTTTCAGTTAAACTGTTTCCCAAGCTGAGGTAGTTACATTGGTATACAGTTCTATGCTGTTGTCAGTAGGTCAAATTTCCTAACCCAACCCTCTAATTAAATAGGTACTTGATTCTGTGGAGAAGATTTTACTGAAGTTTGACTAGATGTTTTTGTCTTTTTAAGCAGAGCTTCAGATCAGCTGTTTGTAATGGTAGTTTGTCTTTACTTTTATCTTGAAAATGCATGACCAAAATGGAATTTCTGCAGATGTTGCAGGAGGGAAATGTGACCATATGAAATTCTTCCCCCATCTCTTTTTCAGCTTTCTGAAACGAAAGTCTTCACTGCATCTTCTGTTCCAGCTGAAAATCATGTGACTCCTGGGCAAAGGTAAGCTCTTCTTTCATGTTTTCCCTATACTTTAAAAACCTTCTCCTTGATTAAGCAATGTTAGCTTGCACACATAAAATATTGAATAAAATCTCTGTCAGAGATTGGTCAAACTCATGTAAAAATTGAAAAAGCTCTGCTTGCAAATTGTTGTTTCTGTGACTTCCTGAGTTACATGTTTTTGACTGGGAAAGTGGAGACAAACTTACCAAATGTGTGAGCATAACACATCTTCTGCATCAGGACTGCTTACAGGCAGGAAGAAAAGTAGCAGGGAAGAAAAATTTTTTTGCTGTTGAAAAGGAACCTCTGACTTTAGTGTCCAGAAAATGGAAAGCCTGTCTTTGTAGATGCAGAAAGTATTCACAATGTAGTGCTTTGACAGATGTGTTAAATGAAAGCTTGCATTGACAAAAGGTGAATTTCCTGGTGAACATCACAGTTACAAGCCTTTACTGATGATAGAGGGTTAAGATCAAGAACCAAAAATAGGTCAGTTGCTGCCTTCGTTTGCTTGCCTTTGTCTTCAAATGCCTTGCTGGTGATGATGAGGAATCAGCTGCTTCCATTAGCTTCATGTTCCTGGAGAGCACGTTAAAGATAGTGGTGAAGGCTTTGGTAGTTGGATAGCATGAGATCTGAAAACTAGATAGGCCAATGGTTCCAAATGCCCTGTTTCTGCTGTACTGCAGAAAAATTTTCCGTATAATATGGATGTGATTTGCATGAGACATGGTGTCACGTGGTATATAATTTATATTTATTTCTTAAAGGTAGTATATTCATGTGTTTTTTTTCTGTTTTTCCAGTGGATGTCTCTCAGATTATGTTTTAGTTCATCCACTCAAATTGGGGTGGGATTTTTTTGTTTGTTACTTACTAGTAAAAAGTTCCCTTCTCTATCTTTTGTATGATAGACAAAAAAACATTTGAAAAGACTGCTAATCAGTAATAATTCTGTTGCTGGGATGGCAGCTTTAGTATTGCTAGTGCTTTCCCCAGTGTTAGTGAAGTTTAATCACTGTGTTCATTCCAGCCAAGTTTCACTTTGTCTTACAGCATTGATTTGGTGACACTGCTTCAAAAGCCAGTGACATCTACCCAAGAGACAGAAGGCAACTCATTTGAGTCTCCCCAGCAGCAGACCTTTGGCCAAGCCTTAGTATTCACAAATTCTCAGCACAGCACCCAGATGGCATCAGGAACAGGCAGCTCCAGTGCTGTAAACTCTTATTCTCCTCAAAGTCTGGTAAAACTACCTTATGCTTTCTAAATATTTTCTTTTCTAAATGTTGTTCATGAGTAAATATTTTGGGTTAAACAGCTTTTGCGGTGCTGGTCATTTCATGAGATGTTTTGGTATTTGCTGAAAAATGAAAATTAAGAATATCTTTCTTTCCTTTCAGTGCCCTCCCCCCCCCCAATTACTTTATTCATTTTGCTGGTTGGTTATTTATGCATTTACATGAAGTAGTTATATTAATTTTTGATTAGAGAGCAGATGTGCTCAATGCTTGCTGATGCAGGATAAAATAATTTGTTTATAGTTAAGAGTTCCAGACCAGAAAATGGATGCATTATTTCCAAGCACATATTCAACTGCTTCTGTGGAAGCATGCCTATTTCTGAGTCATTTTTGAGAGTGTGAGATGAGGTGTTTATTCTCTGAAAATTGGTCCAACTATTAGTAAATCTATGATATTTTAAGATGCATAGATTCAAGAAGTTATTATTATTGTGATTACAGTGGTGGAAGTTTTTACTGGTCATTTGCTAGTAATCTGGGTCTGAAAATATTTTAGTTGCTGCCAGACAGCAGCTGTAGGCATTGACCCTATGATTGTGTTCAATTATTAGTTAAAATATTAACTGCACTCCTTCCCCTTTTCTTCTTTGTCTTTTGGTAGTCGGCAGTTCTTTGTTCTGGCTTTGGAGAGCTCAGATCTTCTAAATTGTCAAATTCTACTGGTTCCCAAATCTTGGACCAATTGAAATCACCAGGGTTGGGTCAGTTTACCTCTCAACAAACTAATAGCAGTTCTGCCACCACTAGCACAGTTGCTGCATCATCCTGGGATCTAAAGCCACCTAGTACTCAGTCCTCAGTCCTTAGTCAGTTTGGTAAGTGCTTTAACACTTCTTGGTTCTTCTTTTTCTCCTTATATTAGCCAGTAAGATTCCGTAATGCCAATGATAGTTTAAAATTGCTTTAATTAATTAAAGACTTTTTAGAAAAAATTAATCCTAGTAATACAATTACTTGCAACATTTTAAGTGTTATGTTTATTTGCTGGCAATGAATATCACAAGTATAATAAACTAAGTTTTGTTAAGCTTAAGCCTATCCCTAGATGTCATTACATGTTTAAAGTTATTGAGCCTTCCAGGTAGTGACATCTTTGATTTAGTGTGTTTAAATATTTACATGGAACTTCGATGGTGACTGTTTTTCAACAGATACTGGAAAATACTTATTTTTATTTTACTATGCTGCTTTTAGCTGAGTGTAAATTTGTGTACTTGTATTTTGTTTTTTCCCAAATTCTCTCTTCTAATCATTACATGAATTTTGAATGAGCACTTTGTAATTTCTTCATAATGTGCATCACGCCTCATTGTTCTGTCCGTAGTGTGCTGTGAAGGGTTTGGGTTACTTGTTTTGTATATTTATAATTGTATGAATTTTTCTTGTAACTGGGTGAAATAGTAGCAACAGTGAGAATGACAGAAACTTTCCTGTAGTGTTGTTCCTAGCAGTATCCTCACTTGTGTCTCTCATGTGTGTATGTTTATGTGTAGATAAGCAGCCATTGGTGGCAATTACTATCTTTGACATGCAGAAATTAAAAAAAAAAATTATATACATTTTAATGCTTTCTAATGGACTTCACCAACTGAATAAAAACCCCTTCACAATGAAGATGCTGGAGGTCTCTGTGGTGGTTGACCAGTGCTTTAGGTCATCTCTTGGCTTTCAGCATCTAAAAAGTATCAAAAGGAAGACTGGGGAAAAAACCTATTCATGTCCAGCATCTCTTTGATTCTTAGCTATTATGAGATGGTAGAAGACTTCCTATTTTTTTTTTATCTTCTTCTTTGCAGGGGAAGGGAATCCTAACTCACAATACCCCTAAATTTCAACAACTCTTTACCTGTTGGAAGTGATCACTTTATGAGCACAGTTAATTACAGTGAAACTTGAAGTGTTTGATTAAAATAATCTGTAACAGTTTTTGAGGACTTGTGTGTGATAATATTGTGACTGTGTAGATAGGTTTGTTTTCACATTTTTGGAAAAAACTAAATAATACTTGGCCACAGCTGTTTATTTGAAGTATATGTATCAATTATTGTCCATGTGAAACCTCTGTGATGTCTGAAAAGACTTGCAAATGCTATAGAATCATAACTATTAAGCATCACTTGGATTATAACATAAAGAGTAGAACTCAGTGCTTTAATTTTGGTATTTCTTTTTTTCCAACACTGACCAGACTTTAAATCCCAGCCTGAGCCATCTCCAGTTCTGAGCCAGCTGACACAGCGACAGCAACAAATGCAGGTGGTTCCTGTTCCTCCTCCTGGGCTGGAGTCATCCACCTCCCAAGTAAAACTCCGAGAGCCATCACCAGTAGACACCTCTACAGCTGTTAGCAAAATATTACAGCTCCCCACCCTCTCTATGGATAACCAGGCAGTGACTGTTCATCAAACCCATCAGAAACAGATAAAACCACCAAAAAGGAGGATAACTCCAGCATCCAAGGTGAGTAATTGAGTGATAGCTTGTCATTAGTAAACTTAAAAACCACAAAAACTTGTGTCAGCAGTGGCACAGCCAGCAGGACCAGGGCAGTGAATTGTCTCCCTGTACTGGTGGGCACTTACTGGGTGAGGCTGCACCTCAAATCCTCTGTCCAGTTTTGGGTCCTTAATACAAGGAAGGTGTTGAGGTGCTGGAGCATGTCCAGAGACGGGAACAGAGCTGGGGAAGGTCTGGAACACAGGTCAGAGGAACAGCTGAGAGAGCTGCAGAGGCTCAGCCTGGAGAAAAGGAGGCTCAGGGGAAACCTGATCACTCTCTAGAAATGAGGGTGTAGCCAGGTGGAGATTGGTCTCTTCTCCAAGGTAACAACTGACGAGACAAGAGTAAACAGCCTCAAGTTGCACTAGGGAAGGTTTAAATTGGATATTAGGAAAAATGTCATCACGGAGGAGGTTGTCAATCACTGGAGCAGGCTGCCCAGGTAAGTGAGGGAGTTACCATCCCTGGAACTGTTTGAAAGATATGAAGACATGGTGCTTAGAGACATGGTTTGGTAGTGCTGGCTTTAGTAGTTGGACTTGATCTTAATGTTCTTGTCCAACCTTAATGATTCTATGATTTGATTTGGTAAATGTTTTATGTAAATTGCTAGGGAGAAGGAGAGAAAAGATCTTGGTATATTTCTTATCTGTGTAGCAGGATGTACTAAGCTGGATAGTTATTAGGTCCAAAGTGTTGTGGTGGTATCTTTTGCAAGCAGCTAGCTGGATGCTCTGTATGGAAAATGGCTGTTGCTGAGTGATTTTTAGATTGATTTAGTAGCCACAATATGAAATTTGGTAGAGGGGGAAGGGGTGTACAAAGATGATACTTTGTTATAGTGGAATAGTATGGTTTACTCCTTCAGCTCCAGATTAGAGCAGAATCGGTGGATTAATTTCAAATTGCAGATGCATGCAAAGGAGTTATGGCTTCTTTTCTTCCTTTAAGATTCCTGCCTCTGCTGTGGAGATGCCTGGATCAGCGGACATGACAGGGTTAAATGTTCAGTTTGGAGCTCTTGAGTTTGGATCAGAGCCTACACTCCCAGAGTTTGGATCAACTTCAAGCAGTGAGAATACCAACCAGGCGACCAACAATAGCTTATATTCAAAATCTGTAAAGTATGTGTGAGTTGCCCTCCTGCATTCTCAGGTGTTCTTGTGGGGGATCAAGTTTGAGCCAAAAACATCACAACAGGGTTACAATGTAATAAAAGGAGAAAATAATATGGTTTGTTTTCTGTGGACTGTATCTTAAATGATAAATTTCTACTCTAATAATTATCAAAATCTCCCTGGATGGGTAGATGTAAAGCTGGAGATGACATGAATATAAATAACCTTTTAATAAGCTAACCTTTATAGAATTTCTTTTTCATGTTAAATTGTCCTGATTTTCAATTGTTTTGGGGATTTGTTCCTCACTACCCATGTTTTTCTCCATCTGACCCAGCAGAGTTGACCTTTGTACCATATATGTGTGTTAGTTAGTAGATTGGCACCAGGTTACAGATCTGATGCTCCTACCAGATGAAAAAACGGGAAAAGAAGTTAGGCATTCTGTACACAGAAGCTCTTACTGAAATGCTACAACAGCCAATGATAAGTGCCAGGGTACGAATAAACAGTTTTAGTTCCTTACTCATTGAAAAATCGGCCTCAGTAAAAAGCTTCCTGAAGTTAATTCAGAAATATTAATAGAAATGAACTTCCACATAACTTTTAGTTTTATCCGTAATATTTAAATTAAGTGGAAAATAAAACATTCCTGCATGTTTTAAAGTATTTTTTTAGCTCTTTGCATAATTCATTCTGTAACATTAGAATTCAATTGTAAAAAGAATCCTATTGTTGTTATTCATCATATGCCAGACTTCATCAATTCTTCTTGTTTAAAAAAGAAAGATTATGATCATTAATTTATCCTTGGAAAAGGCGGAAATAACATGACTGGAAAGTGCTTGTGTGTAAATTCTTGTCTTGTTTGGGCTGGAACGAGGAAGGTGAATGTGCAGCTGATGTTTTGAAGCAGTGATTAGTAACAACCAAAGCAATATTATAATTTGTTTTACATTCTTAGATTTTTCTAATATAAATAACGTAGATTTTTCTGTGTGTGTAAGTGGTTCTAGATAGGTTCTAGAAGCTGATATTTTCATGAAGGTATTTTAAATACTTACAAAGATGATAAATAATTCTTTTTTTCCAGTGATCCTTTGAATACCTCTTTGCCAATATCCAATACAGTACAGGACTCCACCTACACAACCTCTGCCATCAGCTCTTCCAGTCTGACCTGCTCATCCCAGAGCACTAGCCCAGTAACAACTTCCTCCTATGACCAGACTTCTGTGCATAGCAGGATAGCGTACCAAAGCTCCATGGCTCTGTCTGAACCAGCCCCTGTTGCAGTTACGGTGAGTTTGTTACAGAAACAGGACCTAGAAAAGGGGGAATACTCTTACCTGTGTTAAGTTTGTATTCCCCTCATACATTAATGCTGTAACCAAGCCAAGTGGTATTTTTGGTTCCCAAGCCCACCCTCTTACTTGTTTCTGCTTTTCCTGGTGTGTAGTCATTTTTGGTAGTACTGTATTTGGGATATTAGAGCATCTGATTTTGTGGGTCTTGACATCTTAACTTGTCTTTTGACCTTTTTTTTTAGTAACACTTAAAATTCTACTTGAGTTTCCTTCCCTGAAGCTAAGGAACTGTCTCTGTATGTAAATTTTAGTTATGATATTTTGCCATAACTAATAACTTGACAGTTTCTTTACAAATGCATTTTCTTTACTAAATTTACATGGCACCTAGCAAATGAATCCAATTTTTTCCTTGGCCCCTCCAGTATTACTTTTCTGTTGTATTTAAACACCAGTGGGAATTAGTGTGTTATTTTAAAAAGCATAAGGAGAGGTCTAATATAGGACAAAGAATCCCTTGGGAGATTGAGACACACCCACTGTCTTTGTATATGGAATCTAGGTTTGTTTTAAAAGAACTGAGTTTATTGAATGTTTTAGGAACTTGTGAGAGTTTGTAAGTTTATTTACTTCTGGCCTTTGTTATGTGTTGGCTCAGTCACACTTGTCTTCTGCACTAGCTCGTATGTACTGGTGAGGATCAAGCATAGACTATCCACTTCTGTACTCCAGCGTTATCCAAAAAACAACTGGTGCTTCTCAAGTCTTATCTTTCAATGGAAAAAAATTGGCGTCTCTGTGTAACTTGGATAGTTAAAATTGTGAGTTACATTAGATCAAAAGCACAACCATTTCCTATATGTTAATGCAATTCCTTCTTTCATATTGGTGTGAACCTGAAGTTTATGTTATATACAGAACATGGGAAGGTTTGCTGCTAATGGGTGTATTATGGGCAGTGTATGGGTTTCTCTGTGTTCAGGACACCTTGCACTTTAGACAACTTAATGATGTAGTTTTTTTAAAGGCAGTAAAAATTTAATTTTCTGCCTTGTTCAATTTAGTATGAATATAGAATTTTGCATGAAGCATGTTCAATGTGTGATTCAGTCTAAGCATTTAATATACCTTTAAGATGATTTGTTAATTCATTTCTTCTTTGTTTACAGAACGGGCACAGTGGTGTTAGGACACAGGCAACACTTGACAGTAAGTTTTCAAAGCTTGGTTGAGCACAGGACTTTCTGTTCATTCCTTGCTACTTGCTGTGCACACAGGCGTATCAGTGACATTGGGTTTAAGGTTTTATATTGTTCTCCATGACTAATTTATGGCTGACCCATTTGACTTTATTTGTGCTCGCAAAAAATGCTGCTTGCTTCTTGACTACAGTTGAAATATGAAGGCAGGTCTATTAAATCCACAAACCTAAACAACCTTAGAATTGGAGAAGCTGCTTTGCTGTTGTTTTTCCTTTTGAATTTACATGTCAGAAATCATTTAATGTAAAATAAAAAAGCAAAATTAGAAATAAATACGAATTTTTTTAGCAGTTCTTCCAGTTCTGACTTGGGAAGCTGAAAATAGCATTTAGCTGTAGTGAAATGAAGTCACATTCTTTGAGTGCACCTCTCACTAGGTATAATTCTACCTCTGCCCTGTTAGAAGCCTGTGGGAATAAACGTGAGAAACACATTTTCTCTTCTGTGTTTTTTAATACCTTGCAAACAGTACTTCAGTATTGACTGTGCTATAAGCATTAGTTTCTTCATCTTGGCCTGTTTCTAATGTAGCGTGGACCTGTACCAGGCCTGCAGCTCTCTATGTGGAGTTAAAATAATTAAAGTATAGTATTTGCTCTTCTGATCTTTGTGCTGCTCCATGGGAGTTCTCAAGGACCGCAGCGTGAATTAAAATCTTTTGGAATTCCAACACCTCATTTTAGGTCTAACCTCCTCTTAAACATGTCTTCAGATAGGCCATTAGTGGGACAGTGTTTTGTTAGTGCCAATTTGAATTTAAAGTAGCAGGAGTGTATGTGCTCCAAGTATACAAAGACAGCTTTTCAACACAAGAGCTTTTCTAGCGTTGTGTACAGAGTTAACAAACAGTTTATGAAATTCACTACAGAACCTGTCTTTTTTTCTGCAGAAAACAAAGATCTGAGTATTCCTATTACTTTTGTATTCTGTAATGGCTTTACTAGTCTCTTTTCCTATGCCAGTTCTCCTTTGAGAGCATTTCTGCTTTCTTCTTCCATTGAGTCTATTTTATGCATCCAAATGATTTTGAATTTGTCTTAACTTTTATAAGTACTTTCTCCTTTCTGTATGTACTGTAATGTTCTTCTTTGCTGTTCTTCTTTAATATACAGATCTCAAGCTTCCTAAATCCTTAATTCAAAGTATGACTGAATTTTACTGCTGACCATCCTACTTGTCTCCTGGTTTTCTTTGTCTTGCATATTGCATTCAGTCAAGGCATCTTGTAGGGAATCTTAAGATAGTGATTCTGTCCCTTGTGTTGAGGGAATCCTGCTCTTAATATATTGGGAGTTTTAAATGTTATTTACTCCTTTTTAATATGAGTTTTACCAGGAGTTATTAGGTGATATAGTTACTGCCTTCATAACCATGTTTGTCAGTTGGATTTCCTTCTCTCAGAGGCCATACTTATTGCCAAGGCCAGGACCTTTTAATTCCTGTTTGCATTGCAACCCAACAACCTGACTTGGGTCATTTAGCTAGGAAATAAAATCCATAAATAGAACAAACTCTAATATATAACTTCCAAGTATGTATTTAATTTTTGTTTGATGACTTATCTGGAAGTGTCTTCACATACATTACAAGTTAACGATAAGCCACTGGGTAGTGGTCCCTGATGTGGTGTGGGAACATGGCCCAGCAGAAGGTAGGGCTCAACTCTTTTCTGAGTTTTATTGGTGAGTGAGTGTTTCTAATTCTTTGTTATTTTTGTAGGAGTAGAAATAAGTGAAACAGCTGGGAATCATGTTGGGCAATGGAATTTTGAGGCATCTTATTACAGTATAGTGATCCTATAAACAAGTTTTTGTCTGTGTAGCCTAAAATGTGTAAAATAAAACCTAACAGTTTTTATTATCTAAGTAAAGTGAGTCAATATTTGACAGGTCCTTAGCCATAAAAAATGCTTAATGCTGTGCTCAATTCTGGCCTTTCATTGTAGCTTTTTTCATTCTACTGCAGTACACTTTTGACTGAATATACCAAAGTGATAAGTTACCTACCCCTGTACTCCAGCAATCTCAGTCTCCATCCCCACCAGTGCTGTGTTGGTCTGAATGAAGAAACAGGGCTGTAGGTGAAACTGGATTTGTACAGTGCCTTGAAAAGGCAGAAATTACTTGTGTTTGCTGAACCAAAAGCAAGAAATTTTAGACTGGCTTGTGAATGTAAGTTAGTAATCCAGATAGAGGCAGGTGAAGTGCAGAAGGCAGTTGTTTACTACATGTGTAGCAGTGATAACTGTAAATTTATTATAAGTAGAGAGCTTAAAGGGAAAAAATGGTAGTTCAGTTGTGTTTGAATTTTTCTTCATAGCCAAATTGCTTGATATGGTTACCAGTTCTTAATGGTCAGAATTTTGCAGACCAAGGGGAGAATGCTACTGTGTTTCTGCCATCTGGGCTGAGAGGTCAAGTATGCTGAATTTTTAATCTGAATGCCTCTTTTTAACTTGTTGCAGCTATTTCATCAGTTGCAGCACCTAAGACAGAGCCTTCTCCCTCGCTACCTTCTGCTGGTTCTCTGCCCAGTGTGGTGTCTACCACGGCCTCGCTTCTGCCTTCGGCATCGCAGCACGTGGCAGCATTGCCCAGCTTGCCTCAGTCCAGTGATCTGGCCAGCAGCTCGCTCTCCCAGCTGAGCAGGTACAGTAGAGTTGTGGTAAGCTGAGGAGGTCAGTTTTGAGGGTAGAACAGGTGTAAAGGTGGTTCCATATGGGGCTGCCAGGCACCAGGGGTGCCTTTTCTGATGTGAACCAGAATTAGGGGAGAGATTCAGAGGAGAACAGAAGGCAGCTCTGGGCTGCGTTCTAATGGCAGAGCAGCTGCTGCCCTCAAGCTTTCATGATACATATACAACTTTGTGTTCCAGGAGGTTTGCTTCAATCATGCTAGCTAAATCAGCTAAATTGATTCCCCCAGTTTATTTTTCCTACTTTGTACCTGCTGTTTTTGTTCAGTGTTATATGTTTGAAACTATTCTTTAACAGTTTACTACATGGCCAATTTGAAATAATAGTCTCATTTGTATTTCTTAAAATTAAAACCCAGATATAATTTCACAAGGAAACTGTGTGTGTTTTCTTTTTCTAAGATATTTCCTTAAATATTTAAAAATATCACTTTGATGTTCCTGGAAGTGCATCTAGCACAATTCAGCTCATTTGGACTGTCTCTTTGTTTTTCTGAATGCCTGTTACATCCTCAGTCAGGTTGATGCCTTAGGATTTTAGCTTTTATATTTTTCATTTACTTGTAATCCTGCAATTCTTTAGTGTAAACTTTAAAATCCATATAGAGTATTAGCTCCTTTTGGTTAGACAAAACAATTCCTCTCTAGGTCTGGGACTCAAGGACACCCTACTATCTCAGGCCCTGGAAAGTATAAAGAAAAGTGAGGTGATGGGAAGCTAACATGGGGTGAAATGACTTCATTACCTAAAGCTGTAATTGAAAGATTAACTGCCAATATGCAAATGGACCAAACTTACTAAAGTATGAAAACTCATGACTGGTTATCCATGTCTGGGTGTAGCCCCTGGGAAGGCTTCATCTACTCATGTACCTGAAGGCCCTTCAATAATTAGAATGATTTTTTTATTCTCTTAATTTGGCCTCTGGTTTTAGGGAAGCCTGAAAATGGCATCAAGGTGACAATCCTGAAGCTGTATTTGATTGAGTTACATTTTTGATACCTACCTTTGTACTCTGTTTGTTAATACAAGAAACTGATTTGGAATATCAGGGAGTTTTTGTCCTGTTTCACAGCTAGGACATAGTTTATTTTTTTTTAACACTCTAGTATTTTTTTGTTGAATGAAATAGTAAATATGTCAAACAAGAGCTATTCCCTTTACATTAGTCACATTTCCCCACAACGGTTTGTTGAAAAGCTGTATAAATGGATGGAAATTTCAATTGGAGTTCAATGCTGTTGGACAAAGTTTCAGCCATCATTGGGATGCCTGAAACCCAAATGTGTCTGACTTGGTAGAGCTGATGGCTGTTGTCTCTGTCTCTATCATAGGTCAGACAGTAAATTAAGACTTATCAAAAGAGCTGGGAAGAGTGGGTGAGGGAGTGGTATAAAACTCTTAACTTTTTCCTTGCTGCTTGAAGTGACATTGTTCCAATTCCTGCAGAAGGGGGACAGTTCTGAAAGTTAATCTAGAAAACTGCAGAAGTTTATTCTGGGCCCGTGGCTTGAAGAGCTACTAGAAGTGTTTGCCCTTAAATTAGGTCATGTTATGAAGCTGTCAGCTTTGGTATGAAAACTGTCTTTTCTTGTGGCTATTTCCATTGACAGCACTAAACTAATTTTGCTGTTAGGATCTCTCCTGCTTCTTTTTTAATAAGGAGGGGTTTTTTTTAGTGCCAATCTATACACATGTTTTATATCTTCATTTTGGTTACTTTTGTTCTATGTTGGTTGAGTTTATTGCATACTATATACAGTAGGTTACATTCTTGACCTTGAATATGAGGTATAACTTGTCAGTTTAAATGTTCAAATGACAGTTTCAGTCACCTTTCAGGAAGACATTTGAAGATCTCTGGATGAATTATGGGGCAAGTACCCTGCAGTTTTAATTGGCTGAGTTAATGTTATGCAACTCAAAATGTGAGAAACAACACAGTGAGTCAAACCACAGCACTGCCTCACTTTCAACCTGTCCCACATGGTAAGCAGCAGCAGAGAAAGAAGGAGAAACTAGGCTTGTGCTTGTGTGAACCTTGTTTTGATTTTGGACTTCATGTGTCATGGAGTCACCACTATTTGATTCCTGAAGCAACTGTAGTTTTTCTAAAGATACAGTAAATTGAAAAACACAAACGAATGGTGTTTTAGATGTTTTAGATTGTTAATAAAAGTGACTCTGCACTTAGTTTTTTTCACTAAAAGGTAGTAGGGTACTAATTAAAAGGAAAAGTGCCTGTAGAGGTGTCTGTATTCATACAGACACATGCACATTTCTCTGTGTGTATGTGTATGTGTACATACACTCTTACATGTAATTTTTCTTTAACTACTTGGTTAATATAGGTGTGCACACACGTAGAATTTTAATTTTTAACTAATTCCCCACTGCATATCTGTATTTGTTAAAAAGGGAAAATTAATTTTATAAATTCTTTACGATTTCCTTCCAGCTCCCTTTCCAATCATCAGACCAGCCTCTCTCCTGCCTCAGTGTTGTCTTCAGGCACATCACATGTGGTAAGTCCTGTTAGTATTTAAACAAGTGCTTGGCAGATAGTCAGTTTAGTCAGTTTATCTCATAATTAGGACCATCTCTTAAAAATTGGATGTGTCCCAGTACCCCAAGAACCAAAAGAAGAGCGTTACTTCAGGGAAGAAGGACTCTAAGCCCTCTAGTGGGGGAAAAGTGATTACCACTTGTGATTTGTACTAGATCAGGAAGAGCTGTGACAGAGACTCGCCAGTCACACAGCTGAGGGAAATTGTCGTGCCAGCTAGGGGGAATGAAAGAGAAAAAAAATTGCTTATAACTAGTTTATTACAAAACAAAACAAATTTCAGGCAGTCTGAAATGTCTCCAAAATGTGGACTGTTAGCACTCTGTACTGGAGAGATTAGCTGACAAAATGCAGGTGATGGAATGATACATGTTACATTTGAGTTACAGTATTATGATTTTGTGACATAGCAATTTGCATTTAGCTTTCATACAATAATTTTCTTTAAATCACAAAAGCTTCATAAGCGTGCAACTTAGTTGCTTGCTTGGTACATAGGTAATGCATATCTTTTGCATGTGCTGCTGTTACTTTAGAAGTTTTTGTTGTTGTTTTCTTTTATTTTTCACTTTTTCCCAGCATCTTCCCCTGTGGTTTATTTGCTCTGTGATCCTCATTCTTTTTGTCTCCTTTTCTAGCACACTAGTATTGAGAACACAACTTCGCTCCAGCCCTCAACAACCTTTTCAACTGCTTCAACCTCAGCCACTAGCACCACCTCCTCGGTTGTCAGCATGGCAAGCAGTATGAACACTACAAACAGCCTTGGCCTGAGTGTTTCCAGTGTGTCTATACCAGCTGCTACCACACGGGCAGCTCCCTTAGTGTCTTCAGGTTGGCAATTTTGACAGATCACGTGGATAGACAGAGGATTTCAGTCAGCAGGGCTGTCAGTTGAGCATCTCACCTGCCATAACAACGCTAAGAAGTTCTCACTGTTCATTGACATTTCCAGCATGCTGTGTTTGCTGGCTTACGAAATAAAGTTGCCTGGTTCTATGTATTTGAAATATTTGTTAGGGTGTTATGTGGCATTTATATAGCACATTCCATCCCCAAAGAGCTTTATAAATACACATCAGAGCAGTTCTGACTTGGGAAGTTTTGGGCTAGAAAATTCACCCAGTTTGTGTTCCAAGCTGTGATCAGCTCCTGACTATGAGTTCACACGAGCTTTAGTTTCAGGCTGTTCTGTGACTTGAATTCATTTGGCAGTATCAAAATATACTGCAGTGTCCTCATTATCATGTGTCACATCCCTACTGCCACTTCCACAGAAAGGAAGGAAATGTCTGGGTCATTGCACAGCAAATAGCACTTCAGAAGGAGGGTCCATGGAGAAGGAGGGCTGGGAGGCTTCTTGCACTGAGGTGGAAATGATGCTAAATTCTCTTTCTTCTCTGATGATCCTGAACTGCTAAAAGGAAATCTTATAGAGAGAAGTGAGTGACGTATTACTAAGATCAGGCTTAGTCACAGAATTATTTCTTGTTTCTATTGCTTGCAAATGAAGTGTCTTAGGACTGGCCAAAGTGCATTGTTCTTTTACTGTTCTGCTTCCTAGCACTGCTTCATGAAGGCAGCTGAAGCCATTTCAGTCTTCTCTTCACTATTCCTAGCTGTAGTAAGTCATCCACAGAAAGCTGGCAACATTTAGTGCTTTCCAGTCTATTGCTGGTGATAAAGGGAATGCATTGACAGAGCAGTAAATGGAAGGAGAGAATTTGCTGTCTCAGATTGAGAACAATATCTAAATTTGCCTTCAGGAAAGGACTGAGCAAAAGAGAAGTTTTGTAATCTTATAATTCTTGTAATTCTTGTAATCCTCTTGAACAAAGTAAATGACAAATTCAAGCTATTCTGTGATAGGACTGTTTTCAGGCTAAACTAGCCCATGCTTTCCCTCCCTTGAGGCATGGTTAAACTCTTCAGGCTATTTTGGGCATATTCATCAAACGGCACAAAATCTCCTCTTTGTAATCTAAGATGGTGCAGCTGCCGCAACTTGTGAGCTATCTTGTCTCAATGCTGAAGCCTTTTCTTTTCTAAAGGCTTGTTAAAGTGTCTGTATTTTGATTCTACAGGCAAAGCACCCCCAAACCTGCCCCAAGGTGTACCACCCTTGTTGCATAACCAGTATATTGTGGGACCTGGAGGACTTCTGCCTGCCTACCCAGTAAGCAGTTTCATTGTTTCTCTTCGATTTCTTAGCCCTTGGCGCAAGTGGGCCCTCCAGACCTGCTACTGTCTATGCCAAGTCATTTCTGGTGGCACATGTTACACCTGGAAGTCTTGTTTCAAATGCTTACTGAACATATTTCAGATGTTCTTTGAGGCTTACTGTTGATTGTAAACTGCAGAGCTTTTGGTACAGACCTAATCTGGCTGCTATCGAAGCTACATAGGTGTGGCTGTGGTTTTCAGTGTTAACAGGTTTTAGGCCCTTTGAGTAAATTTGGACTCCTTTAGGTTTGTGTTACTGGAATGGATTTGCCATAGCAGTGACTGAAATGTGCCATGTGTCCTGTCATGATTCGAAAGACTGCACATAGCTTTTTGATGTCTGACCAGCACCAATGTATTTTTAGTTATCTGTTTTTTGAATCTGAACATTTATATCAGTAACTTTTCTATATCAAACTGAATGTGAGGAGATACCCAGGAGGTTGTGTTGTGGTCAAATCATCAACTCTTTAATCTTAATGCTCTTTGAAGTAATGATTACAGCAAAGAGGGTTGTTGTTCTTACTCCCAAATGTGAATGCCCGGTAGATTTTTCATAGGTTCAGGAATGATGTGTCTGTGAAAACTGTGTTGAAGATGGGACAATCAAACTCTCCTCAGAGGATGTTGTCACCAGGAAACAGCATCAGAGTGACAAGCCCTTTTAACTTCGGTTCTACTCTCCCTGAAATGCTGCAGTGCCCCATGATAGCACAATGCGACATATGGCTGTAGACCTTTAACACAGACTGGGCTTAAGTCAAACTCAGTTCAAAGCCCCATACTGATCAGCATCAGAAAAAAGTGTTATAATGATGTATTTTTATCTGTCTTTAAGCAGATTTATGGTTATGATGATCTCCAGATGCTTCAATCCAGACTGCCAATGGTAAGTGAACAACTTACTTAATTTTAAAGAAGTTGTCTTCACTGTTGATCATTTGTGCCACATAAATTGAGTCATTTAATAATTGTTAAAAGCTTTTTTTTATGTTCTGTATTCTTTCATTTGAAATTTGTACAAGAATTATGTAAATTGATACAGAGCAACTGTTGCATCATGCATTTGTCCAGCTGCAAAATCTCTAAATAGGCACAAGTGTGCTCTGTGCTCCTGAGTGGAGAAATGTCTAATTTTTATAGCAACATTATGATATTTTGTCTAATCTAGTTGAAGTCCTAAGTATTTTCTTTTACCAAGAGGTAAGGTTGAACAGCAAGTACACAAGTTGGTAGCCAGCAGGTGTATTTGAGATTTTGGGTGTGGTCATAAGTATAGATGTTTGCCTATGCATCGTGGCAACAAATGCAGGTGAGCTGCAGGAGGGAGAGTGTACAAAGTTTTTTTCCTTATGTGGATCCAGAATAGAAACGGCATATGAGACAGGCTGAGCTCCCAGGTAGATTCAAAAAGAGCCTCAATCTAGATTGCAAAATGATAAAGAATTTTCCTATCAAAAATGTGGGGTAAGGAACTTGGAGAGAAGGTTTGGTAGTAGGTAGCTGAGAACAGTTACATACTAGAGTGATGCGGTGTATCTGTAGAGGCAGAAATGGAGCAGTGAACAGTGATCTGAGAAGACTGGATGAATGCCATAATGTAAGGCCCAAATAAGTAACAGGTATTCCATGCAGAGCTTGGAGCAGCCAGAGACAGATGGTTTGAAGGTGAGTACGGGATTGACTCAGACAAAGCCCTATCAGACTACAGACACGGAATTAAAAAAACTCCCAAGTTGAGCACGTGAATAAAGACTTTTACCAGAGAAGGTTGTGGTACTTGAAGAACTTTCAACTGAAATGCCTGGAATTATCTTTGTGGCTACAAGATGCAAAATATTTTAAGTTGCAGTGCCAGGAGACACATATTGTAATGTGGTAACACCAGCTAGATGCCTGGTGACCACCAAGGTGCTCTATCACTCCCCACCTCATCTAGTCAAGCGAGAAAATACATCCTGAAAGGCATGGGGGGTGAGATAAGTACAGGGAGAAGTTACTTCCTCGTTGTGGTCATGGGCAGAAGAGGCTTGACTTGGGGAAATTAGTTTAACTCATTAGCAATTAAAACAGCATAGTTAGCAAGTAGATAATGAAATAAAACCAAACCTACAGAACATCTTCCCTTCACCTCTCATTTCTTCCTGCAGTCACTTTCACTCAGAATTTTCGCTACCTTCCTCTCCCAAGTGGCATAGGAGGATGGGGAATGGGAGTGCCTTCTGTGCCATCACACTTCTGCTTTGTACTCACACTCTTCCCTGTACCCATTTTCGTTCCACTGTCCTCCAGAACTTCAACACGAGTCTTAAAATGTTTTATGTTGTAAGAGGTAATCTGGTTGCAAGCAACTTAGATGTGGGAAGGGAAACCTTCTCCTGGACGACATTGCACAAAGCCCCATCCAGTCGAGCCTTGAACACTTCCGGGGATGTAGTACTCTGGCTAACTCTAGGACTTGCTACAGAGCCTCAAAATCCTCATAGTAAAGAATTTCTCCCTAATGCCTCATATAAAATTACTCTCTTTTGGTTTAGAGAAATTCCCTGTAGACCATTGCCTGTCACTGCAAAAGCTGTTCAAAATTCAGTTTTTCTTCTTTTTTCTAAGGGCTGTTGAAATGTTAAAAGGCTCAAGTAAGGTCTGCCTGGAGCCATCTCATCTTCAGTCCAAATAACACCTGTCACCAATCTTGATAACAGTGGTGCTCTGATGCTCTGTTTGTGCTTGTGGCCCTCTAGTGGAACTTCTGCAGTAACTCCGTGCTTCCCTGCCATAATGCTTTCAGATACAACAATTGGGAAGGGAGTTACAAATTAGTGAAGAAAGACAGGCTCAAGACATGATGGTGGGGATGATATCTAAGACCTAGTGATCTTTCTCCAAAGAGGTTGATGCAAGATCCTCCTTAGTCAGGTGCCATAAAGAAGAGAGAGCAGAGAATGTTCAGACATATATATCAAACTATATATATGGGCTATATATAGGGGTTGACTAGAGGTGGCTAGGCCCTGCTTAAAAGAGTGGTTGCAGTGATAGAGGAGAGGCAGTGCAAAGTGTTTTGTGGTAGGTCGTTATTTCCAGTGGCATCAATAAGTAAATAAGTAGAAAAATAAATACGCGGACAAATAAATAAATAAATAGATAAATGAATAAAAGGCACAAGTCAATAAATATGTAGAGAAAATCCTTTGTCCATGTCTGTGGGAGAGGCTGAATGGATGGAGGTGCAGTGGTTGAAGGGTGCGGTGTGGTTGTTGCAGTCCCGTATGGCATTGTCGCTGATAGGGGTTAAGATGTATGGAAGGTTGTAGGGTTTTGGGGCAAAGA